GAAAATAGTACCAAACTTAAATCAAATTTTAATTTAAATCAAACTTAAATCAATTTAATTTGATTTGGTATCATTCGATTGGGTTATAGCAAACCGACATGACCATTTTGGGGGTCATTTTGGTCTTTCTCGCCACCAAAAATGAAGCCTATAAACTAAACAAAGACCTAGGTCTCGATGCGCAGGACACTCCGATGCGGATGTGATGTTCGATAGAACTGTAGAAGACGGGGATCGATCTTCTCCACGACTATGGCTCTGCTGGCATCATCTAAAGGGGTGCAGATATCAGTGCCGGTACTCGTTCTAGCCGCTGCTGCAGCTGCAGCCCTCTTCTTCTTTCTGTTCTCCTCTCTTTCTTCGCCATCATCTACCGCTTCCTGTTCATGCCCTACTTCCGCCGACCGCGTTGCCTCTAACGCTGGCAGTGGCTTGTACGTTGCTAGACATGAGGAGCAGATCTCGGCGTCGGCAGAGGACATCCAGTGGTTGAAGGGACAGATCGAGAACAACGGACTCCATATGAGGCAAAATGTGCTCCGTAAAGGGATTAACCCTCGCACTCGCGAGCAACAGCTCCAGGATCTTCTTCAGTATGATCTCTTATAAACTCCTTCATATACTTTTCTTCTTGTATGTAATATACTTCAGTACACCAGGGAGTTTATAATTTATGTAGCATTTATCATCCTATGCACAAAGAGAATGCATTCATGAATGGTTTTCTTCTTAAAAGTCTAATCACTATCACAGCCTTTGAATGTAAATCAATCACTGAGTAGCTTCTTGTCAATCTTATATTTTAACTTCGTTTTAGAAGCGGTAGATAGTAGTTGTAGTACACGGAGTGACTCGAGCTACTTAGAATGAAGAGATCTTAATTTGTGGTAATTAATACTCAACATAGAATGATTAGACACAGCCCGGAAGGGGGGAAAGAAAGTTTATGAAAAGGCAATGGACTGAAAAAACTTGTCGCATAAGAGCTCTCTGCTTCTTCAGCTAAAACACTATTTTGTGTCAACTTTTCATATCTATATCAAATCTTCGATTACTGATTTTGCGTGTCTGGTTGTTTGGTGAATTAAATAATTTTGTTTGCAGCCTTCAGCCTTTGTGTTATTTGGAGTCATGGTGTTCAGTTTTTCTTATCCACTCACTTTTGGATGGTGGGCCTTTAAAGAAATGCCAATTAGTTTTGAATTCTAACATTCTTGTTAGCAATTGTGATGCCTTTAAAAATGAGTCAGTTTTGAGCAACTTTAGAGTAGTTGGAATTTGTTAATAGATTAGCCATTTAAAGGACAACCTGGTGACTAATTAGCCAGTCACGCATGCTAACTGTGTGAATGGTCAGTAAGTTCACCTAGATGATCGTGTTGGTAGCCTCTCAATTGGAAGGTATGATATGTCCCTTCTAAAGGCTATTAACTACATTAGTGTTTTATAATGAACATGTTATTGTGAAAATCAAAGTCTATTATATTGTAACAATATTGGTATTAACTTTGATATTTTGGAATACGAATACCCGTCATGCATTCCTTCCTACATTCGTTTTTTGTTGGGTTGTTTGTTGAATAATGTATTTTAATTCACAACCATCGTCTTTTTCTCATTTGTTCTAATATATTTTTAAAGTAACTTAAATTTGTTAATTAGTTTCCCATTTAAAGAAAACTTTGGTGACTAATTAGCCAGTCACACATGCTAACTGTGTGAATGGTCAGTAAGTTCACCTAGATGATTGCGTTGGTAGCCTCTGAGTGGTAGGAACTATATGTTTCTTTTAAAGGCTACTAACTACATTTGTGTTCTTTAATGAACAAGTTAATGTGAAAATCTAATTATAAAAAGTTATTAAGCTATTGGCTTTCTCTTTGCTATTCTCGAATACCCATCAATCCATCATTCATCCCTTTATGAGCTCTTGGTTTCTTTCTTTGGTTGTTTGTCGGGTTAATTGTTGTAATTTACAACGATTGGATTTTTTTGGTTATTTTAAGTAAAGGTGTTTTCTTTTTTTTTTTTCAAAAAAGGGGGTCTATATTGCTGGAAGCTTTCGGATAGCAGACCTATAATGAAATCGTGATTCAATTTCAATGTGTTATTAGCACTTCAATATGGGATTTGATGTGTTTTCTTTTAAATCTAATGTTCACTTTAGTGAATTTGTGATGAACTTAAGAAATAGTCTGTTCTGAGCTATTTTCAAGTTGTAGAAGTTTGTTTATAATTAGCCATTCAAAAGAAAGTTCGGTGACTAATTAGCCAGTCATACATTATAAACTGTGTGAATGGTCAGTAAGTTCACCTAGATAACCATGTTGGTAGCATCTGAGCTGGAGGAAACTATATGTTTCTTCCGAAGGCTATTAACTACACTTATTGTGCTACTGCTATAACAAGCACGTGATATGAAAATCAATGTTCTAAGAAGCTGTTAAGCTATTTTATTAACTTTTCTATTCCGGAATTCCCATCATGCATGTTTTCTTGTATTCCTGATTTGTTTATCTGCTTGTTTGTTTTCTTAAATATTTTATCAAATGGAAATGCCTTTAAGAATGACTTACTCTTGAGTTATGGCATAGTAGTTCAAGTTTCTTTGTAAATCAACCAGATAAATAGATCCTTGGTGACTAATTAGCCAGTCACACATGCTAGACTGTGTGAAAGGCCAGTAAGTTCACCTACATAATCACATTGGTAGACTCAGCCTCTTAGCTTTAAATCTCTACATAATCAAATAATTTTGACTTTCTGTTATGGATCGATGACTATCCTTTCACTTTTTTAGTTCTCCAGTTTATGTAAAATTGTTATTCCATACGTCCCTATTTACTTAGGCATTTTGACTTTTCTGGTCAATAATAGTAAACTTTGACCATCAGTATATTTATATGCGGAAGTATTCATAATATGAAAATGATATGAAAGTGTTTTATATTGAACATAGTAATATAATATAATAAAAGTATAAAATGTATAATTTCGCAAAAGTATACTAATTGAAATGATTGATCAAAGTTGACCCTCATTGACTAGAAAAGTGAAAGATGGCTAACTAGAAAGGGACAGGGGTGGTATAATTTTTGTTTCATATTTTTTCAATCAGAAGTGTATATGATTTTCAATAATTGTGGGTGACTATTATGTTTTTAGGTTCAAGGGCATATCACATTATGAAGGAGAGGAAGCAAATAATCACACTGCTCTCCCTTGTCCAGGTGAGCTCCTTGTAGAAGAACACCACAGCAATTACGGGGAGCCTTGGGCAGGAGGGAGAGATGTGTTTGAATTTCTCGCAAAATCTGTCCATCTATCTCCAAACTCTAAAGTGTTGGAAATTGGATGTGGGACCCTTCGTGTTGGGCTGCATTTTATACGGTACTTGAATTCAGAGAAGTACAACTGTCTGGAAAGAGATGAGCTGTCCTTGATGGCTGCATTGAGGTATGAGCTTCCATCCCAAGGGTTATTATCTAAGCGTCCTCTCATTTTAAGAGGTGAAGACATGGAGTTTAGTAAGTTTGGATCTGAAACTATGTATGATTTGATATACGCAAGTGCTGTATTCCTGCATATTCCAGACAAGCTTGTTTGGGTTGGGTTAGAGAGGCTTGCTGGTAAATTAAAACCATTGGGAGGTCGTATATTTGTCTCCCACAATATAAAGTTCTGTTCGAGACTAGGAGGAGACGAATGTACAAAAAGATTAGGTAATATCGGCCTTGAGTACCTTGGGAAGCACACTCATGATAGTTTACTTTTCAACCATTACGAGATTTGGTTTGAGTTTAGGAGGTTCAAGGAATAACAAGAGCTTGCTATGAGTTGCAGTTTCATTTACTCTTCTCAGGGGAGGGTCTTGTTTCATTATATGGAAGTTACTGAACTAGATTGGTCTGACTACATTACCCTTTCACCGTTGTACCTTGGCAAAATTAAAAGTTGTATTGGCACAGATAGTTGTAGATATTCAGATGGAGTGATAAATCACAATCTTGAAGGCGAATTGGACAATGTGCTTATGATCATGTTGTCTTTGTTCTTTTAATGGACGAAGCATCACCAGAAGCTGATTCCTCTGTGCACTGTTTTGCACTTCTGCGTAGTCCAAGAGGACGGTCATCAATATGACAATATATAGTTAATCTGTAAGGTTCTGTTCTGAAATTGCGCTGGAGAGTACTGTGTTTTGTAGTTTGTTCTTTGTGAAGTTTGTTCTACAAAGCTTGGGAAAAGTAGTTATATAGAGAATCATATCTTAGATTCTTAGAAAAGGTTTTTCTGTAGGATGAGTTTTTTTTGTAAGATAAGATATTATATTCTTTATCCATTTTTTCTTGAGTTTTTTTCCGTATTAATGTTAATTAATTAATTATTTACGGAAATAATGCTGGAAAAAAAGTATTTACCAAAATACTGCTGGGCCTTAACCGTGGTCAGGGCAAAGTCGCCCAACCGTTGGGCGACTTATAAGTCGCCAAACGGTTTGGCGACTTATAAGTCGCCCAACGGTTGGGCGACTTTGCCCTGAAATATGGTTTCAACCGAGCAGCTACTGCCAGCCACGCACGATCGTGCGTATTTCGTTAGGCACGATCGTGCATTCGTGCCTATTACCTAAAACACCAAATCAGCTTGTTTTTTGCCCCGGTTCAATCCAGACCGATCTGTTTGCTACAAATAAGGTCTCCTTTCTCCTTTTGAAGTGTTACAAACTAGATACAACACATGATAATCACATACTCTCAACAACATAAAAAACACCTTATAAACACCGCTAAAAAACTTTCAAATCATAACCGGTATAACACAGTTCAATCATCATATATGCCATAACAAATAATCATGTAATATTCATACTCGAACACATCAATACAACATAGAATACTTAACAAGAGAAAATACATCAAAACTTGTAAATTGTTCCTACAACATCTATTGCATAAGAAAAACTACAATACAAAAGACAAACTACAAGTTCCCATCATCAGCTTCGTCATGGAGATGTTGCTGCTCATGTCTACGCCTACGGCGTTGTCGTGGTTGAAGAACCACTCTCTCATGTTGCGTCTGGGATGATGAACCCGCGGCTGCACTAGACGTGGATGCCATCTCCTGAGATGCGGGCATGTGTATAAGATGTCCGTAGTCTACTCGACCTAACACATCTGAGCATAACGAGGCAATGCCTGTCAGAGTCTGTCCATACATGTCCACATCAGGAATATCAGTCACAGTGGCAGTAGCCCGCTGATGTATGCGCTGCAAAGCTCGGGTCTGCAATACGAAACACAATTACAATTACATTCAAATACATACAAGTATTACATAAATAAAATGACTTACTTTACTAATTAGTAATATACTCACCGTAAGATGCAATGCCAATGAGCTAGGCTGATAATGATGAGTAGGGAGTCTGAACGAAGGAGACACAAACAACCGAGTGATGCTGTAGTACCATCCCATGTAATCTCCTGAAACTGATGGCACATATGTGGGTGTCCCAGCCACGGCTAGCTCAGCTCTCCTATCCCACATAGTCACGTATCGGACATGTCTGAGTGCCCAATCCTCTGTATGCTTCCCACGCCTATCCAGCTTATGCAGCTCTACATAAGTGTCGATAGGACGTGGAATGACCTGCTCAAACCCAAACTGTCGCATGACTCTATCAGGCAAATGAAGCTCAACAATGTCAAAACATATCAGCGGCACACGTGCTCGCCATATGTGAGTATGCTCTCGTCCAGCTGGGAGCAACTCTGCTAACATATCAGGTCTATACGGCATCCATGTGATCTGTTTCGTAAACATACAAAATTAGTATTTATTCTACACCTATTCTAGTTACTGTTATACTACACACACCATACCTGGTCCTCTGACATCCGATCCAATGCATCCCTGTACACACCGAGGCCAGTAGCGGATGACATGCGAGATAAACCAGCATATAGCCACCTAACCATTAATGTTACAATATCAATAATATGGATTTTATTAATGCATTTACATTCAACAAAAACTAACACAAATACAAACGATTGAAAACATACCGACGGCCTAGAGGGTCCACGCCCCGTACATGATGTGGTCCTAGCAGACGTGGAGGCTCATCAGGCAGTGGCTGTCCATCAATGCCATGATATCCAACTATAATGGGACGGCCAATGTGGATATACTCCCATGACCAAATCTGGAGGAGTAGCAAAAATCCCCCCAGCTCTGTGCTCCCTCTCTGGCACCCGCGACACAGCTGCCTGTAGAGATAAGCCAGGGTGGCACTACCCCAGCTAAACTGTGCTGCTACATCAAACCTCTCCAGCAAAGGCAGGTGTAGCACCTGAACCTCATTTCCGCTCTTGTCAGCGAAAATGGAGGCTCCCATCATCATCAATATATACGCCCGAGCATGCTGCTGGATGATCATCTCATCAGCGTCGGGAGGAAGGGCCTGGAAGTGCTCCCTCAACCATGGCATCCTAAGAGATGACCCCTGAAGGTCAGCCCTAAGAACGGGGCGGATGCCTAACAACCTCTCACACTCATCCACCCACTGTCGACAAGCAGTGCCTGTAACAGCTCTCCCATCAACCTCTAACCCAGTCAGTACAGCCACATCTCCCAATGTCACAGTGACCTCACCAACAGGGAGGTGAAATGAATGTGTCTCCTGCCTCCAACGCTCAAGTAGAGCAGTGAGGAGGGCTCTATCTAAAGGCACAGTAGCCACTAACCTGTGCAGTGTAAAAAAACCTGCTGCACGAACATATGCTAGGACTCTGGGGTCGACATGTAAATGGGACAAACCCCGCAGATGCTCGCGGCACCTATCTACCTGCACATCCATGCCAAGCCAAACATCCTCACTCCTGTGTGAGGCCTGCAGTGTCAGGACAGAAGGATCACTCGGCCCAGGATCCGCTATCACCTCCATGCCTACAAACAAAATTTGTATTAGTTGTAATTGTATTAGTTGTAATTGTATAATGTATTACATTTTTTTAACTTCCTTTTTTGAATTTATTAATTTTCCTTGCAAGGAAATAATGAATTATGATTGACTCTAAATATACACATACCCGGCGGACCCCCCCTCTTGTCTAGATGATCTCTTTGCACATGTCGCTCTATTATGGCCGGTTTGGTGGCATCTTCCACATCTAACCGTTCCTCGTGGGCCTTCATCCATCTCATTCTTAATACGGGTCGACTTTGGTCTTCCCTTTGCCCGAAGCATGGATGGATCGTGCACGATTTTGGGTCCATTGTAATTTGGCCAATAATCACGATCAGGAATCGGTTTGAACACCCTATGATACGTGGCGGCGTATTGGTCAGAAGAGAAGAACTTATCCACAAATGGAGCATAAGACAAACTACGTTGTCTACACACGGCTAATACATGGGAGCAAGGAATCTTGTATATCTCCATCTTTTTGCAAGTGCACGTTTTCCGTTGTAGATGGACAGTTTGTTTTCTCCCACCCTTTCCCAACGTTCTGCCACCACAACCGGTCTCCACCTGAAATATACCTCGCCCTAAATCAAAAGGAGTGACAATGTGATGCTTTGCCTTCTCTCTATTTTTTTCAATTAAATCTGTGATGTATGGGGAGTACTCGTGGCCTTGTGTGAGCCTCAACTTACTAGTTTCACGCCTATTCACAAAGTACGCATTAACCCGGTAAAAAGACACCTGGACCAAGGCGGTAATTGGCAAATATCTAGCATTTTTCATGACGCTATTGAAAACCTCAGCCAGATTTGAAGTGATGGTACCGTATCTGTACCCGCCATCATGGTGCAGCGACCACATTTCTGGAGGAATGTTGGCCAAAAATTGTCGTGCATCCCTACTCATTTCACCTATCTTCTTGAACCCACCATCAAATTTTTTTTTCTGATGTTGCCGTGCGGTCCACACAAATAGATTTTTTAAATGAATGTCTTTGAAATGAGTATGCACATTTGAAGCAAGATGACGGATGCATAGCCTATGATGCGCATAAGGCTCCTCCCAATTACTTCCAACCTCATTCATTGCCCTAACAATACCTCCATGTCTATCTGAAATGACACACAACTCCCTGTTAGTCACAAAATGCCTAATACATGCCATAAACCATGGCCAACTGTCTCCATTCTCGGATTCAACAACTGCAAAGGCGACTGGGAAAATTTGGTTGTTCGCATCACAACTCATGGCCACGAGCAATGTGCCCTTGTACTTTCCATACATGTGTGTGCCATCAATAGTAAGTACGGGTCGACAATGCTTAAAACCAGATATTGATGCCTTGAATGCCCAAAAAACTCTTTGAAACATCATATAACCTGTCGCACCATTGGGGGGTGGGTACCACTGAACAACAGTTCCTGGATTAGAATGTTGGAGCGCTGTCATGAAACGGGGCAATTCGAAATATGACTTTTCCCAACCGCCAAATATTTGTGCTATGGCCTTTTGCTTCCCCATCCATGTTCTCCGGTAAGATACCGTATACCCATATTTTTCCTTCAACATCTCGATGATAGTATGCACTTTAAGAGAAGGATCAGTGCGAATAATGTCAACCACATCTTTACAGATGAATTCTGATGTCAAGGCCACGTGATCTGTAATGTCGATGTTGCCTACACAAGAAGCAGAATGAGGTCCAGAATAACGCACAATTGTGAAGGTGTCAAGGTTGCCTTTGTTCTTTGTGGCGCGTATTCTCCAGGGGCATTGACATTCTTTCTTCCTTTTGCATTGTGCCACCCATTTGTGTTTGTCGGACTCTATCACCCGATAGAATTGGTTCCGTTTGATAGAATACAAGCTCACCATATTGATGACTTGTTCTTTGTTGTCAAACTGTTGACCGACCTCAAACTCACCATCGGGGGTAAACCTTTTCTCACCTGATCCACTCATCCACGCATCAGTAAAACCTTCAGGGAGATCATACATTCTAGTGAAGTGGCTAGACGGGGCAGTTGATGTCACAGTATCACCATCATCTTCATCAGATTATGTCATGTCGTCACCATTGATGTTCTTGTCTGCATCATCATCACTTCCCTGCCCATCCACAAATGATGCACCGTTGTGCAAATACCTGCCATCCTCCTGTATAACCATGTCTAGTACAGGAACCTTTGACGACTTCCCTGCATTCACCCCTGCAATGACATCATGCCTAGATACAACAGCATTTGATGTCGATTGAGTAGCATTAGCGTCAAAGCATTCCTCAATGTATACCTCCAGCGACGACATATCCTCCATCTGAATTATGCCCCACATATTTGTTATAGCTAGCTCATCAATGAGCGGCATAAGCATGTACTTTCCCCCGTTCATGGGAAATTTCATTTTCAACCGCAATGAACGGCCGGGATGAATCATTGTCGTTGCATGTATTTTTTGAAGGATCTCGACCATGCAAGCGCCACGAGAAACCATGACAAAGCTTGTTCTGCCACCTTCATGGCATATTTGCCCACCATTCTCATAATAGTTCCCTCCCCAATGACACACGAGTGGGAAGCTTGAGAAATCCATCTTCTAATAACAACTCATTGTCCAACATTCATGAGTAGGCATCAATATACACACTTTATACACATTCACATTTTTAATAGAAATTGCTTCCAAAATTGTAATATATCATTAACTCCAAATTCACAAACAATTCACATTTCAATAACAAACTACCCAAATTTTGATATCTACATTCAATGTCTACCTTTGAATACCCAAATTTAGGTACATTCAACTATACCCAAATGCCCAAATGTCAAAATACACGTTACAATTTACAAACAATTTAAAATCATATTTCAACATTTCATACATATTCACATTTCACAACAACTTCATTCACAATCAATTCATAATCCCAAAATTAAAAAAAAAATTAACATTCTAAACCCTAAGTGCAAAATTATATGAAATGGATTTGGATTTACCTAGAATAAGGAGTAAAGAGTGTTGAAGATGAAGATGGAGGGTTGCCGGAGTGGAGTCGCCGGAGATGGAGGAGCGCCGGAGTTGGAGATGGCGGTTCGTCCGTCTTCTTCTTCGTCCGTCGCAGCAGCTGCTTTTAGTTGGGGAGGGTTCTGTGAAGTGTTCTGTTTGGGGCGAGACGCGATTTTTACTTAAGGGTAAGTCGCCCAACGGTTGGGCGGCTTATAAGTCGCCAAACCGTTTGGCGACTTATAAGTCGCCCAACCGTTGGGCGACTTACCCCCGACCATGGTTAACCCAGCAGTATTTTGGTAAATACTTTTAACCCAACCCTATTTTCGTAATTAATTAATTAATTAACATTAATACGGAAAAAAACTCCGAGTATGAAACAGGAAAATATTTGAAAGAATGTTTTTTTAAGCTTAAAATTTAATACTCTATTGAAATAGAAAATTGCGATCTAAACTTCCTGATAAAGAATTTAGGCCCAACCAATGCAGAAGACTCATCTTTCTCCCCGTCTCCCTAATTGAGGCTCTATTTGCAAATCCAACTAAAAAAAGCATTTCTCAGTTTTTAGCTTAAAAAAGCTAAAAAAGATATTTTCAAATGACAATTTTTACTTAAATGAATTACTTAAAAGTTAGAATCTGTTTTTTATTTTTTCTATTACACAAAAAACACTTATTTTATCAAACATCACCAATTTTTACTTTTCAAAATCACTTTTCTCAAACACTATTAACTTTTACTATTAGTCACTTTCTATCAAAATCATTTAAAAAAATTAAAAGCACTTCCAAGTTGGGTTTGCAGACAGAGCCTAAAGATTCTAACTGGCTTATCAAATGCGGGATGGTTCTGCATGATAAATTAGTAAAAGTGATTCTAACTGGCTTATCAAATGCGTGATGGTTCTGCATGATAAATTAGTAAAAGTGATGATACTTGATACAACAAATCAATAGATTGAAAGAATAATTGACATATGTTTGTTGAATGATGAATCTAAGACATGTTTACTTGGCTGATTATGATACCGTTAGCTTACTAAGGTGGATGAAGTAAACTAGTTGGACGCTTAAAACGTGCTTACTAAACGGACTACCCTCTTAAAATGCCGCTTACTAAACTCACTCCCCCCCATGTTTTATTAAGTGACAACTTAAACTATTTTTATTGACCATCGTGGCCCTTGTTTCTCTCGTTCAAAATTTTATTCACATCGCTATCCCATCTCTCACAAGCGCAGAAGCATATCTCAGAAATACGTTTCAGAAAG